TTGCACTTTGCTGATGGGTCAGAGGAGACGCTTACTTTCACTTCCACAGTAAACGGAGGCACATGAGCGTTTTCGGCTCGGCCCACGATCACCTCCTCCAGGGGGTCCCATTCATTGTAGCTGCAGACGGGGCACTCCTGCTGAATGGGCTCAGTAACAGGTTCCTCTTCAGCTGCTTGGTGTTGAGCAGCAGCTGCTGCACTTGAAGTGCTCTGGAAGGTCCTCTGCACCCAACCTGCAACTGACCGGCCAAGCTGAGCGAGAAGAAAATGGATAAGCTTGGGGCTCAGGCTTTGGTTTAAATGATTTGTGAAAAAATATTTGCACAAAAATGGTCTTTTTTGTGTGTGTGGAAAATGCATCAACTAATTGGTTTTAAAATACAGTTGTTGGTCATTAGTGCTGAGCAGGAAGCTGTTTCAAAATGAGCATATTTATCAATGAATTTGGTTTTATTTCGGTGCAAGAAAAATGAAAATATTTGTAAGAAAAAAAACATGGCTTAAAGTAAAAACAAGAAAAAGAAAAGAGGATCAAAGTAATACAGCAAAGATGAAACTGCTCCAAGAAGAAAACTGATCTCAGTTGGATTGATTGGTTGGGTGCCAAAGTACATGTGTTATGAAGAAGCCTTATCTCTTAAAGATAGAGGTCACAGTATTGGCCCCGCTGGCACCAGACCAGCTCTGGAGTCACAGAGTTTGAGAGCCATCTGCTGTGAAACAGCTGTTCGCTGTCGCTCAGGGACTAAACAAAATAAATGAAAGAAAACACCCTGCACCATTAGGAAAAATCCAATCTTTTTTGTTTCACTATTTTTGTGCATTTCTTGTTTTAGTTTAGCATTTTCAGACATCTTAATGGTTGATCAGACAACCAACACATCCATAAATCAATTAACCTGACTTTAACCCAATCAGCTCAAATGCAATGAAGAAAAAGTCGAACAAAATGTCTTTATTCACCTTAAAAGACTTGTGTTTTCATTGAAACAAAAGATCAGGGAGATGAAATGATTTCTCTTTCTTTGCTGCAAAAACAAAAACAACAAGAACAACAAAAAAAAACCCCAACAAAAACATAAAACCACCAGAATACAAACCATGGCTCCGATCAGATGGGCAGCCTCGGCCCCCCTGCTACCTCCTCTCAGACATCTGACTCGCAGCATTGTCCACAGAAATGATGAGCGAAACCAAAGGGCAGCACCGGATCCAACTTTCTCTCTCTCTGTTCGCTATTGAAAGGAGACACTTTAGCTTCAGCAACTTTATAGGAGCAGAGACTACGTGTCTCTGAGGTCATTGGTCGCTTTTCATGTTGTGAGGCAACGTGACTTGAGAAACAGCATTTCTGAAACACAATCCCTTACGCCAGCAAATTCTTATCAACTGGGCTTTTGGCGTCCAAAGCTTCAAAGAAATCTGAAAAGGGATGAAGAACCGGTTCGGCTGGATGTATCTGGATGCACCCACAGAGCGCTCAAGGATGTTTTGCAAGCAACAAAGTTTTTGTAAGTTTAATAGCAGTCTTTGATTTCATCTTTAAAGGGTTGGCTTCAGGGCTTCATATATCAGACTATAAATAATGTGAAAAAACACAAATCCCAAAAGAATTAGCTTGAGAAATGATAAAATTTAATAAAACATAATACAGATTTTGCACATTATATTTAATCTAATACACAGCAACTGGTTTAAGATGGTCTCTTTGTGTTCCTTTAGGACTGATGACGTCCTGTATTCTATGTTGCATGTTTTGCATGAACGCGGCTTCGTGACACTCTTTAATCGGGCTCTTGAGAGCAGTGTGGAAGTCAGAAAGGTTTGAGCAGAGCTGATACAATTGGAGAAATAGAGAGCTTTGCACAGGCTCCCACAGCACATGCTTCACTGGACTGTGCTCACATGAGTTTCACAACCACCCCCTCCCACCGGCAGACCTCAGTGACTTCTGATCTGTTCCTGCCCTCAAAAGAAATCTTTGACTGATTCCTGTGCTTCAAGGGATACATCATGAACAAGATAGATTTTCATCGTCCAGTGAACTTTTAGGATTTGTAACATTTCTATTATGTTAATTAGTAAATACAGGAAAGGTAGAAAATATGTTTTGTCGAGTGTATTGTTGTTTGCCACAACGATGCTTAACAGCAACCAAACAATAATGTTGGAAAGCCTCATTATTTTTCTGTGTGCTGCAAACAACTATGTCCCACTGTGACAAGAGACGTGCTGAGCTGAATGAGGCGGCCGTTGATGTTAATTTAATATTTGGAAGCGTGACCAACATAGACTGTACGGCCTTGTTCACCTCCTCCGACCACTGCCGCCAAACTACAGGCACACTGCCATGATGAAACAGTGCATAAAATTGATGATTTGCACAACTTCTCCTGCTGTTTCCTGATTGGCCCAGTTGAACTTCTACCTGACAGACATCAGGTCACGAGGAAAAATCCCAGACAGAGCACTGAAGAAAGAAGAGAGTCAACTGGACTTGCATAACAGAAATTCCCAGGCACAACAAGTAACATAGGAAGAAGATAAGCATGTAGCTTATGTAAACAGTATAGTGACTTATGCAGGTGTTGTAGTTTGCAGGTTTTTGGGTACATGAGCATCTGCCGGGGTGTACGTGATTCATCCCAGGGGAGTTTCAGGGACAACAGGAAGGGAAATGCCACATCCACGGAAAGAGGCGGAAACTTTCCAGTTGTCTCAGAATAATGCATGTTTTTTTTCTCTCAACTTTCATGAGTTCAACTTTTCTTCTCATCTAACACAGCACAAGTTTAGATACCAAGCCAGTAATAGATTTCTTAGATCAGAGCAAGACCTCAAACAGGACAGTCTCTTTGTAAACGTTGCGGGTTGTTAAATTTGTTGCTTAACTCATACGTGGTCTGTTGCGCCATTATTTAATTTTTTCCATGAGAATAACATTGGAGCCCAACATGCCTCGCTGTGTGAACGTGTTACATTAGGCTTATGCATTTACCACATGTCACCATTTATGCAACTGGAATGTACTTTTATATAACTTTATGAAATTAAAGAAAGGTAGGAACTGTGTGAGATAACCTTGGTGCAGAGTGGCTGATAAGAGACAGGATGAAGGAACTAGAGGAGGAAATGTGGCAGGTAATGTGTAGATATTAAATAAGCATTTTATAATAGTGGTCTGTTATAAAATGCAGCAATAAAGTGCTATTAATAAAACAAGAGAAGGAGATGTCCCATTTGTGTGTGTAAAATGGAAGCTCCAATGCAGTTTGTCACTCAGTCCCAAGACTGCCTCCCTGCATTATCCTGCCTGTATAATTAGCTGCATAAATGCATCTAATTATCTGAAGCCAGGTGAACTGAAGTGACCACGAGTTTTTACTGTCCCACAAAATGTACTACAAGAGAAGCATCTTCACCCCTTTTATTGAGCAAAGCTGAACGAATCCAACGCTACCCACAACCCACCAGCCTGAGCTGGACTCAAAAAACTTGAAGCAGACTGATAAAAGGGTGCCCAATCAGTATTGTGCCTCTGTTATTGATAATATTATTTACATAGGCAAGTCTGTTTTCATTATGAAAACTATTCCTGTTGGTCTGCTTGCATTTGAGTCCCACCAAACAATTAGAACAAGCCATATGGAGATGTATTCTGGAAAAACATGCAGGCTGCTTGAAACTGTCTGATTTTTAATTTTTTTTTTACCTCACTCAATGGCGAAACAGTAAAAACACAATGAAGGAGGCCCTCAACTGGAGAGCAGCATAAATGGCATTTAAAGGTGGAACATTAAAACCACAGTCTATGTCCAGCACCGTGATCGCTCCTTAAAACCAAACGTTGAAATGATCAAAGTATATCTTGATGTACTCATTGTCTAAGGGTTTAAAATGACAGATGACAACGCTGGGAATATGTATGTACCTCTTCTAGACTCTGCTGTTTTAATTTCCTTTGATACATCGACATTTTTGAAAAGATCAAACCTCATGTTTCAATCTTTGAGCTAAAACACATGTGTCAAACTCAAGGCCCGGGGGCCAAATCAGGCCCGCCGTAGCTTTTTATGTGGCCCTCCACAGACTAGACTAAACACTAAGTGTGATTAAATATTATATTATCAATCATATCAATGCTGTTTTTATCTGTTTACTGCCAATTTATATCAATCAATCCCTCCAGTTTCTTGAGAATTTAGTTGATGTATGATTATAGTCCATGATTTACACAGCGAGTAAATAAACAGTCACATATATATTAGTCCCTGAAGGGACTGAAAAGATCTTCAATAATATTATGTAATTTTAAGAATTCATTGACATATTAACAGTTTGTGAACAGGTTTTATCAACACATTCTGGCACAACCGGCCCTTTAAGAGCCTTCATGATCTTGATTTGGCCCAAAACAAAAATGAGTTTGACACACCTGGGCTAAAACAATTCTGCTTTTTTTTTTTTTCCTCATTATATCCCTTTAAAAGTATCAAATTAAGAATCCCTGTGACGCAATTACATGATGAAGTAAAGGCTGCCCTGTTTCGTTATTAATTTAATAAAAATGTTGGACAGAGGCTGTGGTGTGAAAGGAAAGAGGTCCAAACACCTGGATCTCTATACCAGCCCCCGTGAAAAAATTACAAATCAAAAATCAACCACAAACACACCCTAACTCATATTGCAAATCTCATTCACCAACAACACTCTCTTATTAATACTGATCACCAAAATGTTGTTTTTTCTTTCCAAAAAAAAAAAAAGACATGTTGAAGTTAAAGTGCCCAGTCAAGTCAGCTGATCCCTGACAAGCAAGCTGCAGTCTGGTGCATCAACTTAAGTAGATTAACCTGTTTTCTTCTGAGTGCCTTTAAATGCCTCACGGCGGGGGGGATTCAGAGGTTAAAAATAAAACTGACTATTGTCGCTGAAAAATCCGTGGATCTGTTGCGCGTATCCAAAATGGTTGTGTCCAGAAATACATTTCCATTTCATTCCGCACATCTCAGAAAATTCTATGAAACGCTCCGCCCCAACTTGTCCGCTTTTTTTTTTTCGCCCGGGTTTTTGAACTTTTTGCCCAGTCGGGTCGGGACCGTCCTTTAGAACAAGTGGGGAAAAGTTCGCCATGGAGCTGTTCCTCATTTCTACCATTTTAGCGGGCGCCGTCATCGCGCCCTTCGCGCTGAGAATCCTTTTCCCCTATTTATGGAAGGATCTCCGGTACGTCGGCGTCCTGGTGCGGGTTTTGGTCCGCTACGCAGCGAACCGAAGGCGGAGACCTCCGTCCTACGTGCTGGAGCGCTTCTTGGAGCAAGCCGCCGCGCTACCCGACAAGCCCTTCGTCGCGTTCGGGGACGAGACGCACACGTACGCGGACGCGGACCGGGAGAGCAACAGGATCGCCAACGCGCTCCGGGCGCAGCGCGGGTACGAGGCTGGAGCCACCGCCGCGCTCCTCATGGGGAACGAGCCCAGGTTTTTGTTTACTTGGCTGGCTCTGGCCAAGCTCGGCTCTCCCGTCGCCCTGCTGAACTACAACATCCGGAGCAAGTCTCTGCTGCACTGCTTCAACTGCTGCAAGGCCAAGGTGCTGGTTGCAGCCGCAGGTAAGGAGGGCTGCTGGAGGAAGTGGCTTTGAAAATGAAAGTTGCGATCAAGTTAAAAAAGGAAGAAAGAAAGAAAGAGAAAAAGGAAGAAGTCGCACCAACCATGATAGTTATTCGTGTGCCCCCCCATCCCACCCAAAAAATTGCATTAATGTGACAAGATGTCACATATAGTTTCAGAAAAACTTTAATAGTTTAACAGTTAGTGTTATAGAGACGGCCTCAACTGGCCCTTTGAGGAGGTTCATGATCTTGACCTGTTCCTTTCTTTTCTTTTCTGTTGTTGTGAAATTGTTGTGGTTTTGGATCTGCACACGAGTCCTTTGACTTGTGTGTTTTTTCAGTGTTTTGTACGTTCAGTACTTGTGGGGATCCGTAAAGTAAAAAAAAACAAAAAAAACAAAAACTACATCAAAATTCTCACTTGCAATCTGCTAAAAATGTGCTAAACACAAACACAACTTTCGCTGGAGAAATCATCAAACCATGTTATTCATCGTTTTGGAGCCGAGTGTTTGAGCTGTTCTTCACCTTAGATGTGAGGTTGCAATAAATCGCAATTTTTCTCAAAGCATTTTCATTTTTACGTTTTCATTTTATTACCTTTGTAATAAAATGAAAGATTTCATAACAAACAATGCAATTTATTTATTTTTTTTTTAACCATGTTTATTCATTCACCGGGGAGAGAAATCTTGTACTACTAAATAATTGTCTTTAACTAAAATTGCATCATGTTTTCACCTAATGAAACCAAGAAGTCATTGACTAATAATCGTAAGCTACCAGAGGCTCTGAGTTATTAATAATTTTGGTATGAAACAATTAAATAAAGCTATTTTAGGTATTTCTTTCAATAAATTTGTAGACTGTTGCAGCTGGAAACTAATATTTGTACCTAAAGAACGTTCAAATAAATGTTTAGTAATTAGTCTGTGCCTTCTTTGATGAATACTAATGCAAATGTATTCTTCTTTTTATTGTTATTTTTTGCAGAGCTGAAAGAGGCAGTGGAGGATGTGCTGCCCTCCCTGATGGAGCAGGGTGTCACGGTCCTCCTCTTGGTCAAATCCTGCGACACTCCAGGAATCGTGAGCTTCTCTGATAAAGTGGAAGAAGCCGCGGACACACCGCTACCTCGATCCATCAGATCACACGTCACATTTAAAAGTCCCGCCGTCTATATCTACACCTCTGGCACGACCGGTATTTCTGCACTTTTTTCAATGAATTGTGGTAATCTGTTCCTACAAGGCATGGAGTGAATCCTTTGGTTTTCAAACAGCTTTTATGTGTGAGTTGCTGCATTTCAGGTCTTCCTAAGGCAGCTTTGGTTGATCAGAATCGCCTCCTATCAGCTCTGGCTATTATATCTGCATACGGTGTGAAATCCAAGGATGTCATGTACGTCAACCTGCCGCTCTACCACACAGCAGGGTTTCTCGTTGGATTTCTTGGCTGCATTGAAGCAGGTGGGAACACAAAAACGGTATTAAAGAGTGCTACGCTCCATGATAAAATAGATTGGTCATGTGGGATTTGGTTCACTCATGTGACGGTCAGTGATGGAGTGCAGGACGTTTATTTGAATCAATGGAAGCAGTGTGGACACTTTTACACTGCATCTAAATTGCAGGAAAATAAATATATGAGATGTTGATAAATTTGAATAAAACTGCCCAAACTTCCTCTGTTGACAATCCGAATTCAAACACAGAGTTAGTCATTTTAAAACCTTTGAAACAGCTTTTAAGCTTTCGACAAGTATACTAAGAAAAAAACATTCTCAGAAATTGATGGTTTTTGTCTTTTTTTCTGTTTTTGCTCTGCAGACTTGTTTCTACTTTTCACAAATAAGTTTTAAAAAACTTTTTTTTAGCCCATCCACCATAATTTTTTTTGTCTTTTTATTAACCTGTACGCTCGATGCCGGAAATATACGGACCTGGGCCCAGGCTGAGCTGAAGCCATTTTTGGTGCCCTATCCACTAAGGAGAAATTCTTCTGCTAATGCAAAATGCATTATTGTAGCAGATAGTCCTTTCCATCAGCAGGTATGAACTGAAGCATGGAACCACAGCTAAATCATAAATTTTAAATACTTCACTGTTGTTTGTGTCCATAAAAATCCCAAAAATATCAAAGCAACTCACCTAATTTGGACCTATGAGTTCTAAAGTGCAATGTTTGCTAAACACACATTCAGTAAAAAGAAACACAAATATTTGGGCCCGGCTGCTGGCCCTGTTTAGCCTTTCTGACGTGTGGCCCAGCGCACGCTGACCTGGCAGCTTGGGACACAGATTGATGGTTCTGGCTTTCACAATCTTCAAAATATTATATAAAAAAATCTACCCATTCAATTTGCAAATAAAGGCATTTACCCAATCCTAAGAGTCATATCAGGAATTCCTTTGCAATTTGTGCAATGTCTTAAACTTGTGCAGTTAAGCCAGGTAAGCCTGTTACACAAAGATGATCTTTTTCACATGTGATGTAAAGCTATAGTTGAATAAACCAGGATATAATCACTCAACAGCCTCAATAAACAATCAGGTTTGTGGTTCTTTATGACCAAAGCAATTCTAGATCTTCTAAAATCTTCTTTAAGCTCCAGTGTTTGCTATAAATCTGCAAACTGCAGATGGATTCTGTTTCTTTGCACACTGCACAGAACCTGATTATCCTCCTCCTATTCAGGCCCAGTGAAAGAGTCTTTTGTCATAAGGAGCCAATAATCTGTACTGATCCTTCTCTGGCTGCGCTTTCCATAAATAGGCAAAAGGTTACACAGAGAGTGCTTGTGTGTGTGCAGGCATTGTGTGTGATTGAGGAAGTTTGGTGCTCTGCAGAATTATCACAGATTTGTTGTCTGATGTGTTTATTTATTTGCCACAAGGTTTAAAACTATTAATTCTTGCTACTATTCAATATTTGAGTAAGAAATTGTAAGATGCTTCAACTTACTGAAGTATTAAGACCTTTTTTCACTTTTACAGCTGCACTCCTCGGTGTCTTATTAGGATTTTTTGCGATAGAATGCATTGTGGTAAAATAAAAGAATGCAATCGAATATAATATATGATCTAATATGTGTAGCGTTGCATGTTTAGGGCTGTAACGAATCTTCGAGTGATTCGAGAACCTCGAGTATTACAATTCCTCGATCTGTGGACGCAAAACCTTCAAATGGCTGTGCAAAGTGATAGTTCATCTACTAAATTAATGAAAGAGGAATATTTAAACTAAAAACTGGAGTGCACAGCGCTTTTTTATTTTTATTTTCATTATTAAGTTGAATATAATATCAGATTTTTCAAAAGCACAGCTCTTGTTGTTACAGGTGAATTTTCTAAGCAGCATGAAAGCATTTGTTCGGGGATGCACATTTTAGGTGAATGAACTTTTTATTTATCAGGTTGTAATATTTGTGTTCTGTGATGTTTTATTTTGAAGGGTCAACTCTAGTTCTGAAAAGGAAGTTTTCTGCCTCTCAGTTCTGGGACGACTGCAGAAAATACAATGTGACTGTCATTCAGTATATCGGAGAAGTGATGCGCTACCTCTGCTGCACACCAAAGGTAAAATTGAAATGATAGCATTAAGATTTACAATACAGTCCAAGGTAAACAATTGCTGATTTGCATACTGTGTCCGAGGAGCCGGACTTCCTTTAAAGCAGGAAGCGTGGGTCATTTTCATTTTGGGCCAAATCAAACGTCTGAATGTTCTTAAAGGGCCATTTGTGCCAGAAAGTATTGATAAAAATTGTTCAAATATCAATACACCTGTTTGCTTCAGCGTTCAGGAAGCTGAAATTTAAATGATATTGAACATTTCTTCACACTGGTCAGCCCATCCAGGATTTTCTATCACTGATTTAGAAATATTTGTAAGATTTTTTGTAATTTTTAATTTTTTTTACAATACATGCAACAATGTATGACGTTAAATTTGACTTTTTATTCTTCACTGCACGGACTATAGCTTGACACCAACTAATCCTGAGGCAGCAGTCACTTAAACCCAATGTTTTTGGCCAATTTTAAGAAAAATGTCAGTAAAATCAGAAAGAAACTTGGCAATCTGTTGATTATGTGTGAATTTTGCAGATTTGTGAAAAACTGGAAGGACTTATTCTTGTAAGGGCCACATACAAAGCTTTGGCGGGCCAGATTTTAAGTTTGACACGTGCTTTAAAGGGATACGAGGCAGGATTTCTTCAGGCTTTCTGGAGATTTTTAAAGTGTTTAATGTTTGTTTTCCACTTAGTTTGAGTTTAGTACCTGACCAGGTTCAGGACATTATTTTTGCTTCCTGGGCTGAATGACTCATAGCATGAAAAGGCTCCTAACCAAGTCTTGTGTTGACATTTGACAAACATCTTAGTAAAAAAAAAACATTTTAATTTGAATCAGAGATGCAACCCTCAGGCTTTTATTGGCTGATTCTAGTTTCTGGCTTTAGATGCTGGGGCAGGATAATAATTTCTCAAGAATTTAACTTGTGGATCCCAAGTCAGAGCAAATAAAAAAAAAAAAAATTGGCTGATTGATTGGTGCATAACCACTCAATTTCTGGGCTATTTTCTTCCAAAGTCCACTTGCAGTAACATTTTTTTTTCTGAAATTAGTTTTCACTGAAACTCTTTGTTGAACTCAAATGCAACAATTCCTTTTTCATTTTGACCAAACCTTTCATTTTTAATGGTTTTAACAGTCACTTACTGGTGCAGCTGCAACAAAACAACAACAAGATTACCCAGGAACTTTTGGCAGGATATTTTAGACACTCCACCCATCTTGGCAACCATAATTACTGTAAAAAAAAATTAATAAATCAGGCAAAGACAGCTGCAGAGGCAGAGTGTCTGCAACAAGTCGCGACAGAGGCAGGCCTTGTCAGAGGGAACTTTCCAAATCTATACATTCCCAACGCAGAGCACAGCTTGCTCTCCAAAATAGAAATCATAAAATCTTCACTATCGTGTTCCAGTCTTCACCCACTTCATCTGCCTCGTTCGAGGCAGCATGAAAATAAGACCTATTTTAAAAAAAATATATACATTTATCTATTTAAATAACAGAACTGACATCATCGTAGTTACATGTCACAAACGCTTATTTGCATTTGGTAGTACTGGATACATAGTTTCTGCGTGTAATGCCATTCAGAGCATCTTGTTACATCACATGGAGCTCGGTGTCAGTTTACGGCGCGCACGAGTCGCAGGAGTCACCAGATTTCTTTATCTGGTCATCTCTCGGAATAGATGCTGGCCTTTACTTTGGAAGACATATCAAGTTGCAAAGTTACAGTTCAAGTCGATGGTCATTCTATTTGAGCCACATGGGGCAAAGGTCGGGGAATGCGCATATTTTCACTTGTTTCAATTAGTTTTGATTCTTGCATTCGAAGAGTAAGAACATGTCCAAAGATGGTATCGATTTTAGCTAAAGTTGATCATTTCAATTTGCAAAAATCTTTCCTGCAGTTTTGCAGAAAAGTGAGCCCGTGTTTGATTCTGTCTGAAAACGGAGCTGATAGACCCACAGCTTCTGTTTTCCTGTGGCAGTCACGCTCCCATGCAGCGTCAGGAAGCGTAGAAAAGCTTCCAAGTTCCAGATCCAGATCAGTGTGAGGAAAACAATCAAACCGAGTATTAAAAAGGTTTTCCAGACTTTTTTTTTAATATTGTCAATTTTCAAAAGTAACACAATCAAAGAATTTCAAATAATCCTTAATAAATGCAGACATGGACTGGCTTTACTCATTAAATGCACATGTAATGGAAAAAGGTTGCAGTTTGCAATGTTTTGGATTTTTCTCATCTTCAAGTTGTGGTTTAACTGGATACAAACCACAACTATAGATAGATTAAAATGCTAAACCACACTAAAATCGACTCTTTTCATTTTTAAAAATAAAAGTGACTGCAATCAATATCAGTTTATTATTTTAACCATAAGCACAGCATTTAGGCAATGCTTGTATATGTTTGAAACACAAGAGAAGCTTCACCATGTTGATGAAACTTATTAAATCCAGTGTAAAAAGGTCAATTCTTCAGGGAAACTGCAACTAAATTGTCTGACAAGCAAAAAAAAAAAATCTGATGTCAGCCTGAAACAAATATTTCAATAAAATCTTGTTGAGATGGAGATAATAAATTTCACTTCTTACTTTAGTTGTGTAGATCACTCATTATCTGGACTCTATGTTTGCTGTGACTCCAACCAAACATTTGAGTGATGTATTATTAATTTGAAGTCATGTTGTTATCACAACATTTGCCGGCGTTATTGTGCATCAAACATTTTCCTAATGTAGCGCAGCTTTCAGGCAAAGGAAAAAAAAAAGATTTGTATTAGAGTTAATTTGTGTTAGTTCAGATGCTAAAAAAACTGTAAAATAGTTTAGAAATCAAAAGCCTGTTTCAACATTCTGCTGTTTTGTGTTTGTCAAACCTGCAGATAAAATGACTATTTCAGTGGTTCTAGGTGAATATTTCATAAAAATGGCAACAGAGACTAAATACTCGGTGCCTGTAAACTGGTGTTGCATTTACATTTCACAAACTGCTTAATGTTTCCTTTTTCATTTTGCATGAATCTGTAGAGGGACAATGACAAAGACCATAAAGTAAGACTGGCCATCGGCAACGGAGTCCGAGCAGAAGTCTGGAAAGAGTTCCTGAGTCGCTTTGGAAACATCCAGATTTTTGAGTTTTATGCCTCCACAGAGGGAAATATAGGATTCCTCAACTACACTGAGAAAATAGGAGCAGTTGGACGAGTTCACTTTTTGCACAAGGTAAGGATGAGAGTATGCAGAGCATACCTGAACTGTGCACACGAGCATAAAGCCACGTTTGAAGTGTTAAGTCCATCAAACACAGTTCTTTACTAACTTGGTTTGACCTTGTTTACCCAGTTGAACATGGGGGTGGGGTGGATAAAGGTTTATAAAGGCGGCGCATTAAAAGCAATTGTTTTAACGGGGCACTAATTTCAATACTCTTTGCAGAGATTGTTTCCCTACACACTTGTGAAGTACGACACAGAGCGCGACGAACCGGTGCGAGATGCTAACGGTCTCTGCATTGAGACCTCGAAAGGTCAAGAATAATTACAGGCATTTGCTTTTTTAAATTTTTTTAATTTTTTTGGTCTTTTCATTCTGAACTTGTTTTTTTTTCCCCAGGTAATACAGGACTGCTGGTGTCGAAGATTACAGACCTCACACCTTTTGTCGGATACGCTCAAAACGAAGAGCAGACAGAGAGGAAAAAGCTGCGCAACGTCCTCAAAAAAGGAGACCTGTACTTCAACACCGGTGACCTAATGAGGATCGATAAAGACAATTTCATTTACTTTCAGGATCGTGTCGGGGACACCTTCAGGTACTGCCCTCCTCCTCACAGTGGATTTGTCCTCATTTAGAGGAAATAGCAGAGAGGACACGCTTTTCTTTTAATTCTGCTTATTTTTGGGGGGGTTGGGGGGGACACATTTGTGAATGAACCAGAATTTTTTTTTACAGAAATTGTTAATCAACTTCTGTCAATGTCAAAACCAGAAAAAAAATCAATGAATAAAAAGACTTCAACTGACTGTAAGTTATTTTGAGGACATAGGTGGAAAGGTGAGAACGTTGCGACAACTGAGGTCTCCGACATCCTTTCGATGAGCAACTGTCTGCAAGAGGCCAATGTTTATGGAGTCCAAGTGCCAGGTAACACTCACTCAGCAAATATCGTTTGGCATAATTTACTTCCAGCTGAACTTTGTTTGAACTTATGTTGTTTTATTGTCATTCAGGGCACGAGGGGCGCGTGGGAATGGCAGCTGCCACGCTGAAGAACGGTGCCCGGTTTGATGGGAGTCGACTTTACGACCACGTTGTTAGCTACCTGCCCTCATACGCACGGCCCCGCTTTATAAGGCTGCAGGTAATTCAGTGGAAACGAGCTTCATCTTGCCTGGATGTCAAGGAGGACGCAAGGGCAAACACACGGGCTTTGTTCTGCTGCGAACGCCTGGCTGTGTTCAGTCCCAGTGACGTGTGCGCGCTCTTTTCTCCCGTTCCAGAGTTCAGTGGAAGTCACGACTACTTTCAAGCAGATGAAAGTGAAGCTGGTGAATCAGGGGTTCGATCCGGAGAACATCCAGGAGCCTCTTTACATCCTCGACGACAGAGCGAAAAGCTACGTACCACTGATGGCTGAGACTTACCGCTCCATCCTGTCCGGAAGCGTCAAGCTGTAACCAGCTCCACTGGCCGTGTGAGAGGCTGTCATAGCGTCTGATTTATTTTATTTTTTTAATAATTTCCAGCTCAGGGAAGCAAATGTTATTTTAAATATTCTTATGTGTATGTTTTTTTTTAAACATACACATAGTCAGTGTATTATTTCGAAAAGAACAATCACAAGGTAATCATAAAACTACATTGTTGTAAATAGCCTAATAACTGCTTACCATGCTGTATTAACTACTTACAATGTTTTTTTTTCAACTCAGTGTCATATCTGTGTTTAGATTTATCTTTTCAGAGACAGAATGTGGTGAATCCTGTTACACCTATAACACAGCATGGACAGTATTTTACAATTTCTTAAAAAATGTGACCTTTTTTCATAAACATTGATTTTACATGCCTTCAAAGGCTCAGTTGAAGTAATAATTTGTAAGCTATAAAAACATATAGATAGCATCCATGTTTGAAAGTGATGTTATCGACTAATGTCTGTGAAAATAAGCCAAACTGCGGAAACCTAAAGTTACTGTTACAGTAAATTGTGCAGGTTTTCAGTATTTTTGCCCTTCAGGAGCTCAACGTTACGAGTCCAGATGTCAGAAGAGAAGGAGAACACAAGGTGGCGCCATGCTTTGACTTTTCTCTTACTGCTGACGTTTTTTTTTTTTTTTTAATGGCGAAAGAGACCAAGGAATATTTTAAAAGCGTTTAGTTGACTGACAATAAAGCCTGACAAAAACTAAATCTAATCAAACCTTTATTTGATTTGAACTTCTGAAAATATTCCTTCACAATCAGAGTCTGAAAATATATGTTGAAAGAAAGTGAAGTGATGTTTGTTTTTAAAAAAATATATTTTTACTTGGACTTTTAATTTAAACCGTGGTAATGAAGATATTTTGCTTAGCAATTTGTATCACTTCCTACTTTTATATCATGTGTTATTAATATAATGTGCACTGCAGAAACAGTATTTTGGGGATGTGTACAAACATTTCTGGTAGAGAAATTTAGACAAGATGTAAATAAAATATTTAAATGCTTTTCAAAGAAGTAATGGAAGAGATTTGCATATTTCTCTGTAGTGACTGTAATGTTGTTGAAGAGTCTTATTGATCAGGTAGTTATTAATTTTATTCATGAAGGGTTTATTCACACAAATGTCTGCTTTTGGTGTTTCTAAAGGCAAACAGGTCTAAATAATTACCAGAAACCCAAAACAGTGGAGTCCAGTTCCATATTTGGGGTGTGAGAACAAAAGCCTCGGACTTTGTCCTGGAAAGAAACGGGAGATAAAATCGAAACTTCTGTCTTGTCTAAGAACATAATCAGAACCGTGAAAGGTTTTAGAGAGTCAGGCTACCGGTTTATAAAAGCAGGTCTCTCGGGCAAAATGTTAGTAAAGTCCAGCATTTATTTTAAGCGATCAGGACTTGACTTGAAGTCCTAAGCTGTAAATCATCATGTGATAACACAAGCGAAACGACAATGCATAATTTTCCTGAGTGCCACACCCTACCATTTAAACCAACTGGACTCATTTCATTGGAGCAAATCATTCCTCTTTTCTTCTGGTTGCACACGTTTCTGGATGAAAAAGTTAAAAGAAAAGAAACCTCTGAGTTTCTTTCATTGAGTGTACTTTAGGACAGCACAGCTTTTTGGTCAAACGTTGGGAAAATTCAAAGAAATTGGCTCATTCTGCAGAAGCAAATTGTAGACATCAACAAATTAATTTTGTAGATTAATTTCCAGAAGCGCGAAACAAACGTGCTCATCCGTTCTTTAGGCGTGAGAGTGTGTGGAAAGGAGATATTTTCTGTATTTCGGAGCTGTGCCAATGTTTTCGAGCGAAATGTGAGGACCAAATCCAGAATGAAAGCGGAAGACAAGTCCTGTATCGATGTGGGGCTGAAACAGCAACTCGGGTTGGTATTTTAAAACTAACTCAGGATGTTTGCAAATGCTTCCAGATGCACAGTGTAACTTCAGGCAATGACAATGTTTTGGAGTAGCCCTCAAAAAGCCCTGATCTGTGTGAGAATTTGAGCTCAGAAATGTGTGAAAGCATTAAAATATGTAATAAAAACGTCAACAAAACCACTGTTGTTACTCAGGGATTTAGCAGGTAGGAGCTATGTTTGTTAATGACATCTGATCTAAAGCAGTAATAAGATTGGTCTGATTTATCACACAACGCAGACCGATGCTTTAAAACCACACTGAATTGGTTACCATGTGATGATTTCTATGTTAAATATCTAATAAAACTGATGACTGATCTCAATCAGTGATAATAACTATAAATGGGAAACATGCACATCATCCCACTGGGTACTTTTCACCTCCAGACTTCAACAAACCCCCTTTTTTGTTTGTTTGTTCATTGTTATGTTTTAAATAATGACATTTAAACCCAAATGATTGTGCTGAACCCGTGGAACATAGGACCCTGGGAACACATACTTTCCCTTTCAGCAGTGGTTTTTGTAAATGAAAAACTTATGTGGACCCTTTTTTTCTTATACAACCAGAAGAGGGAGAAGTTGGGCAAAGTTCAGGAGGCGTAAACGAGTCGGATCTTTTCCCTGCAGTGGTTGAGGCTCTCTGAACCCTCAGGACCGAGTCCGCACTCCGGAGCACAATGATCGCACACATCCTGTTTGCCGTTCTGACAATTCTGCCATTGTTCGTTTATCTGCGAAATCCATATTTTCTGGGAGACCTGAGGTACGCGGTCACTGCAATTCGCATCGGCCTGCGAATGCGCAAAATCAAGAGGAACTTTTCCAGCATGCTGGACTGCTTCTTGGACCGAGCGAAGCAGCATCCACAAAAGACGTTCCTGATCTTTGAGGGCAGCTCCTACACGTACAGCCAGGCCGACAGGGAGAGCAACAAGGTCGCCAGGGCTCTGGCGACGCACGCCCGGCTGAAGGAGGGGGACGCGGCCGCGCTGTTCCTGGGCAACGAGCCGCAGTTTGTGTGGCTCTGGCTGGGTCTGGCCAAGCTGGGCTGCGTGGCGTCGCTCCTCAACTCCAACATCAGGTCCAAGTCTCTGGTGCACTGCTTCTCCTGCTGCGAAGCCAAGGTCCTCATCGCAGGGGCCGGTAAGCTGGGGCCACTTTTCAGAGGGTAGAATTTTGTGTGTGGGTGTTTTTTTTTCCCCCGAAACCCTTTTACTGTCACGTGTCTTGCTCAGAAATACAATGGGATGCATAGTTTAACTGCGTTGTTCAACCAAATATGCAATGGCAATAAACACGATTCAAACCAGAATATGAATCTGTTATCATAAAGAGACATAGGGGTTGCAGAGAGGTAATTTCCCCCATTTTTTTTCAGAAGTTGAAAAATGAACCAATAACATCCAAACTGAGCACTTTCTACAGTTTAGGGGTGAACTATTGGCAGTGCAAGCAGATAAAACTAGACACTGTACAGCACTATGTGTGCCACTCTGAAAAGTGCTATTAAATAGGTATAAATGTCACGTCTCTAGTGAAATGTCCTGTTGGCTCTGCCCCGCCCCCTTTGTGTCACAGACAATAAATCAAATAACTTTACACTAAACTACACCTGCAGTATTTGGATTGATTTGTAACTTTCTTCATATTTGCACAGACCTCCGATGCCACTTTTGCTTCTCTTTCTCTCAGACTTGCGAGAAGCCGTAGTAGAGGTCCTGCCAGCTCTGAGGGAGCAGGGCATCCGGGTGTTCATCCTCAGCGACCACAGTGACGTAGAAGGCATCGAAAGCCTCTCCGATAAGCTGGAGGAGACCTGTGACGAGCCTCTGTCTCCGCAGCTGAGGGCGAACATCAACCTCAAAACTCCTGCCCTCTACATCTACACGTCGGGGACCACGGGTAATCAGCCGTCCTCCTCTGACCTTGACCCGCTCTCACTGGCTGTGGCCTTGAACTGCACATAAAAAGGCTTTTAATGGCAATGTTATCTTTTTAGGACTTCCCAAGGCAGCTATCGTTAACCACGAGAGGGTATGGATGTCATCTTTTCTCCAGGCCATGGTTGGTGTGCACGCCAGCGATGTGCTCTATTTGTACCTGCCTCTCTACCACACCTCTGGTTTTCTGATGGGACTCTGCGGAGCCATAGAGCGAGGTAATCCACGAGAGAGTCTGTGAGTGAACCATGAGTAGCTAGAGCGATGGCGAGTGTTAGGAGGAATGTGGAGAGGTGGAAATGTGGAAAAGAAAGTTAATTATCTTAAGTCAATGGCTTAAAAATATGACAATGTCCAGTAGCTATTTAGTCATTGACTGTCCGCTGCTTTGTGTCAGTGATGGTTATGAAAGGTTAAACCTCAAGTAACGCGCAATCTGGTTCTGGTTTCCAGTGTTTGTGTTTGAAAGACTCAAAGCTCAGTTTGCAGACTTGTAGACTGTAGACTACTGTATGCAGTCAGCCAGCCCCGTGTCTCATTTTCTGCTGCTATCTGTGCGCCTTCCTTTTTCAGGCATCACTGTGGTTTTGAGACGGAAGTTCTCGGTTTCCAGCTTCTGGAGTGACTGCAGAAAGCACAACGTGACCGTCGTTCAGTACATAGGAGAGATCATGCGTTACCTGTGCAACACGCCAAAGGTAAACATGAGTTTGACGTCATATGATCCCAAAAGACCTTTATCAATTCTGCTGCTTTTGGAGCACATTTTGATCAAGCAGCAGATCCAACCTTCTTTAAAAAGTTTAGTGGTTGCTTAAAAATCCAAGAACTTGGATAATTTAATCGTCTCTCCAACAGGGAAGAAGACTGACTCTCTTTTAACAGGAAGAAACCTGTTAAAAGATCATGACGGTTATGCACCGAATAACATTATGTTAAAGATATTTGCCATTTCTCAAATTAAATGCTTCAGTCAATCATGTGAATTTGCATGCGAGATAACCTAAAAAAATAAAGAAAAGGTTATATTTTCCTCTTAGAATATCATGACAATGTGATTAACCCCCTTTTTAGGAAAGGAGGTTGTCACTGGGATTTTAGCTAAACCCAGGTCTGATTATAGGAAGACTCATTAAATAAAATAAAAATGAAAAATTAAACCTGTCTGACATGAAAGAGGCTAAAAACATTCAAAAAGCTACACAGTTTCTCAATGGCAAGAACAGACAAGAAACAAAGCTGAGTCACCAGCAGTTGTTAGGTTTGATACTTTAGTATTAAATTTATTTGTGTCTTTTTCACCGGATGGTTTGGACGTTTCGTTTTCCCTTAATAAATGAGATCAGAATATAAAAACCTCTAGCTCTCCAGCAAGTTAGCTCAACTTTAACCATTTACTCATGTTTGTGTGAAATTAAGATTTGTTTGATAGGCTGAAAACATTTAAGCTACATTTAAAAACCTGTGGAAATATAAAAGGAGCTGGTCCACACATACAGGAGCGCCGTGTTAAGAGTGCCGTGTGGCTGCGGTCCCAGCGGAAGGGGCTTGTTTACACTGATATATTGGGAGGGATGTGAAAAGCAGGGAGAGTTTATGACTGTAACAGCCTGGTGTGAGAAGCCTGTCCTCAGCCTGGTGGAGCCAGCCTGTGGGCACATTGTGACAGAGACCGGGAGGCCAGACAGGGGCGGGTTGTGTTGTTTATGAGGTCGGCTGCTTTCCTGTTGATTCCACGCTCTGTTTTCTCTTTTTCTTTTCCTTACAGTGTAGCAATGCAGCTATAGCCGGGACGGATTCAATACGGATGTAGAAACCTGGCTGATAATTTCTTAGCCTTTGAGCCATTAGTTGTTGATATGTGAGAGTTTTGTTTTTTATGTTTAATTATTAGAATGCTTCTTTTTCTCAATGTTTTTCTCTGCCAATTTACACATTCGAAATAAAGATTTGCTTTCATATGTTACAACCAGTAACATAATCAATCAATCAGCCAATCAACCAATCCCATTTATTCTGTCATAATTGTGGTCCATATAAAACAAGAAACAGACAGACATATAAACTGAGGGCCCAGCGATTCCTGAGTTTTGATCAGGATTGGTCAAAGTGTTCACAGTCTGTCAACCTTCACATACATCTGTACATAATGTTTCAAAGCACAGCAGCACAAGTTGGTACATTGACACTCACAAACATCTGACTCCATCGCTGCATCCTCAGGCCCTCACCGTAAGAGGCCTGACATTTATGCATGCTGCTTTTCCTGTACGCATAAGGATTGAAGAGCCATATTGAAGAAACACAAACATCTTCTTAAAGTTCCAGGAAAAAAGCAGAAATAAGCTTTTTAAACCGAGCAGCACTCAATAGCTAAGTAGCAAATGCACAACTTTTCATTAGTGACTTGCGAACCAAATCCTGCATGCCAAAAGTGTAAGAACAAAAATAAAATCCACATTTTCTTCTCTATTCAAAACATGCATTTGATTTCTAATCAAGCCAGTTTATCTAAATAATCTGAGTTGAATTACTATATCCACTTAAAAAAGCTATTAAAATTCCAGATGCTATGTTTACAATACTGCATTCTAGTTCACCTGCAGCACCAATTTCTCATTTTAATTTGTCCAACAAATGGTGATGCATTTTATAAGCCACTAAAATGACGACACCTGACTGTGCTCTTTTATCAGTGTGCAGCGTTGCTCGTACAGGCGTTTTATTTGTGTCTGACCTCTCCTTCACCCTCCCCTCAGAAAGACAATGACAAGGATCATAAAGTGAGACTGGCTCTGGGGAACGGGATAAGGTCGGACACCTGGGTCGACTTCCTGCAGCGGTTTGGGAGCGTTCGCATCTGCGAATGCTATGGAGCGACAGAGTCCAATGTTGGCTTTGTCAACTACGTTGGAAAAGTTGGAGCCATCGGCAGAGAGCATTTTCTCTACAAGGTGAGAATCGTAATTCGCATAACTTATCTTCACAGGATACATCATTACGTACATTCAAATTGCTCTCAAATGATTGATTATTTTTTCATTCATCGTAATCTCCCGACTCCTTTTCAGATGTCATCTCCATACGCCCTTATAAGGTATGACACAGAAAAAGAGGAGCCAGTCAGAAACTCCAGAGGATTTTGCATTGAAGTTCCTAAAGGTGAGTTTGTTCAGATCCAAGCCATAACATCCTTCCTTGTCTTCTTTCAAAACTTACCGTGTTTTTTTTTTTCCCTCTAATATAAAGGTGAAACTGGTCTGCTGGTAGGGAAGATAGGAGAGAAAACCCCTTTCTATGGCTATGCCAAGAACAAACAGCAGACGGAGA